TATCATTTAATTAAGTGAAAAAGATGAGTTAATCCCATCCACCGTCTGTGCGTGTGTGTGTGTGTGTGTGTGTGTGTGTGTCCATCCATCCTGCATCCTCTCCAGATGTTTTCCTCCCAATCAGGCAACTGCAGATGGGGCCAACTCCAAAATGAAACGGAATTTAAACACAATTAATATTCACTTAATTAAATGATACGGATCTGCCCAAGTACAGTTTCCAGCTGTTGTGTTAGAAAGGGAGGTTGGAAAGTTCACCCAAAGCTATGGAAGGGTGCATGGAGAATCTTGGACCCTTTAGGTCAAAGTGTATAGGCAGAGTAAAAGAGGTCCAGCTAGCCTGTAGTGGGAGCTACCTGTACTGAGCCTGAAGAAAAGAAGGGGTACGGTTGTAGGGTTTTAGGGATCAGATGGGAGTTTGAAAACTGTGGGTTTTCTCTTTATGCTTATAAACTTTCCATGAAAAGGTCAGAAGTCTCCTGTGACCTCTTTGAAGGAAACTGAGCCTTGGGTAAGCAAGACAGCCCAGGCAATTTACACAATTATGAAGTGAGCTGCCTTTTAGGAACAATATGCAACCTTTGCTTCTGGATGCTATATTTAAAACTTGCAACCTTAAATGCTTGCTCTCTCTTCTTTTGTTTCTTTCAGCGTGTTGGCATTTTTAACTTTTCAAAAAAAAAAGTTTCAGAGTTTTTGTTTTTAATTGCCAGGCAAGCAGAAAACCATCATCATCTCAGTTTAAGCACAACAATCTCCCATTCTTAATTACGACACCGATCATGGGAATTATCTCGGGTCAAGCGCCTTCGCACTCTGAAACCTAATTATGAAAACAGCAGGTGGCTCCTCACTCGAAGCTGTTATTCTAAAGAAGGTAGTGATGAGCGCCATCCATCAACTCCTAGAGCCGTTTCCTCCCTCCCGGTCCTACGAAGCCAGCGTTTTAATGCTTTCGATTAAAGAAGGTTTGATTCTCAGCAGGGGCAACGCTTAGCTCATCTTCGGCTGCAAAAATTTCTCCCCTTGCAGATTTGCATCGGGAAACTACTTCCTCCTGACGTCTTTAAAAATGGGCACACAACATTATTAATGGCACACCCCCGATGCTTGGTGGAGGAGGAATAAAGCTTGGTGGTAAAATAAAAATACAATTTTAATAAAGCCTGCTATTAACTGCATCCCAGGTGGCAGCCATAAAGGCAGCCACGTTTCTGTGCAGAGAAGGGCTATTTCATTGGGTAGGTTATAAACCAGCAAAAAGGCAAGCCGGCTCGTAAGAGCTGTTTTTTTTTTTTACAAGGAGGAGAAAACAAGAGTAATCATGGAATACTAACAGGCTTTTTGCAGCTGTTAAAAAACTCCACATCTGAGATGGGATCCATTAGATATGACCTGATCACGTTTGCCCGTAGACCTTTAGGGGCTTCGTTGGTCATCTTCACCCCATTCTGAAGCACAGAAACAGGGAAGTTGGGTGACGGGTAGCTTGTGAGCCACATACGGAAATCTGGGTGTGTTGTATCTGGATTCAGTTCCTAATGGAGAAGAAAAAAGAAACTCGGTAAGGACAAGAGATCACCAGTTGCGGTTTCTTCTTAAGGCCTACGCACATTCAAATATATTTATGTTCAAATAAAAAATATATATTTTATTTTAAACACAT